TTTGTTCAGTATTTTTTACTATGTGTGGAGTCCCGGAAGTATGCCAATGGAAGTGCAGCTCTCTGTAGCAAATTTGAGCCTGCTAATAATAGGTTTGCTTTTTTTAGCTGCCTTTCACAGACCTGTTAGGTGTGCCCCATTGACCCTCTAGGGTTTTGTAAATCAGAGGTTGGAAACCGCCATGCCAATGGATATCTGGATGAATCTGCAGGAGACTGCCAAAAATTCTCAGCATAGCTGGCCTGTTTTGTTGCCCTCCTGCAGATCAGATAAAGCTTTTTAGGCCTTGCAGGAGCCATTAGAAAAACACATATAAATACTGATATTTTCTTATTACCTCTGCTTTGGCAAGTTTTCGCAAGCTTGTTGGATTTTGGCTGCATGAAAGTGTGGCAGGAGCATAGGTAAAAACCCTTTTAGTTAGGAAACTCACCTTCTCTTATGTCTCATACAAAGGAAGATTAGATATGCAGTGTTTTAATCTATGCAGTTCTATGTACAGAAAAAATGAAATATACTTAAAAATGTATTCTCCTGCAGTTTCTGGCTATCTGTCTGGAGCTGGCTGATTTTGTTTAAAAGGACGTCTGTCCTGTGGATCTAGATTGCTTGCTTTGGCTGTAGTGAATATAGTCTGGCTAGTTATGTGTATCTGCTTCCTTTCGATGATGAAAATTTGACTTTAGTGTTGTTTGTCAGCTTTCAAGGTACTTTGTGTGTCATAAAAGCTGTTTGGAAGTATTTCTTTAAAGTAAATAAAAAACCAAACTGAAAACCTAAAAAGTCCACGATCTGCCCTTATCTCTCTTCTTTTTATTCTTTTTTTAACCCAGTATTGTTTTCATGTACTTGGCAGAACTTGAAATTCACCTAGTTCGTATGGCAGAATGAAAATGTAACCTTTTCCCAAAGTTCAGTGTTAATGGACTTGTAATGGAGGAAATGGTTGCAATGTACATAGTAATGCTGTAGTTCTGCAAATCATACCCATGTGCTTGCCTTCACTAACATGAATAATTACATGAAAATCAGCAGGTTCACAGTGATGGTGGTTTTAAGCTTGCTGTAAGTTTTACATCAGAACCTCAGGTAGCTTTCAGGCACTTATTGGGTGAAGGCCCACATCATTTGTTTGTACATTCTTAGCAAATTCTTTGGCTGTCACAGGCGATTAAAATCTGGATTTTTTTTTACATGGCTTATGGCAGGTAAAAAGACAGTTTATATAGGGTGTAATAGCATATTTTAAGTGTTCATTGTAGCAGGAAGTGGATTTTAATTTACATTTCTAACTTATGTATTACATGTTTTTTGATTGTTCCTCTATTGCCAAATGCCTTCCAGAAAAAAAAAAAAAAAAAACAAAAAAACAAACAAACAAAAAAAGGTCTTTGCTCTGTCATGTCATTAAGCTGAATTGTTGTGTGTATTGTCATTGTATTTCACATTTACCTAGTGGCCTCTCTTGTAGCCTGACACCAAGATTAAGTCCTTAAGCCCTTTGCCTGCATTGTTTACATATTGTTTGCTCTAGAGCAGGAGGAGCTGACATATTCCATCTGTATTATAAATTAAGTTCATATGCAGCATGATTGAAGGACAAACCAGTTAGGGCAAGTTACTGCTTCCACCCTGCTTTTTTTTGCTTGCTGTATTTTTTTTCTGAAAATACCAAACTGGACACTGGACAACATAAACCAAAACAGATGTTTGTGTATATAAGTGCAAGGAATTAAAAAAACCTCACTAACCAGATCATGTAGGAGAGAAGCTGAGACTTTAAGCTCCTATAACTTGACTTTTAAGATAATAAACACTAAAACACATATGTATTTCTCAAAACAATGTATGGTGTTTATGTACTGATTTATTTTGTTGCCTAATGAGGCCTCTAAAGCGAGCATTAAATGGCATAGTACATTAAATAACAAAATTTTCCTCCAGCCGTAATCAGGGGCCTGTGCTCTGTTAACTCACTGCAGAATTGAGTCACCAGACTTTGAGACTGAGGGGGCCTCAGGGCTCCTGCTAGTTTCTCCTTAGACAGTTACACAGCAATAGATTTTTCTTATTTTTCTCCCCAGTTTAGCTTAATAGTATATCTGAGAGAGAGCTGTAGAACTTTTGTTGGAGTGAAACTACTTCCTGAACTTGCAAGAGAGATTAATTTTTATTTTACTGCTGAAGTGTGCTGTTCAGGACTAAACCCACAGCTTATGACTGTGTATTTGTTCAGCTTTCAGTCAGTCTTTGCTCATACTGACCGTAAGGTGACTTGTCAGACTGATTCCTTTCTTAAATAGGACTTTGCTTTTCCTGTGACTGTTTGATTCCTTTGCTTTGGAATACAAAAGCTTAGGGGGGAAAATGGCTCAGAGTCTAGGCAAAAAAATCCCAAGAGTCTGTGTTCAGGGCTGTCCCAGCTTGTTACTGCACCTGTTGTGTCAAGTCTAAACTTTCGATTGAAAGTTGAACACCTAAATTACAGTTTTCTTTCTTACTTTTTAGTGTAATGTGATGTTCTTGTCAACTATACACTGTTGTCAGGTGTGAGTCTTTAATTATGTCAGTTTTATTTTGAGCTGGCAAACAAGCATAGCAATTTTAATAAGATTATTAAACAACGCAGTGAAGGTTAACCTGTTTCCTTGAGGAAGAACTAAGTCTTTGAAATACTTGTTATGTCTGTGTGAATGTTTGAATACATGGTTGTCCTTACAGCAGTTGTGAAAAACGGGAGAAAAGGTATGCATATACTGGTAGGTATAGATTTATCTGAACTTAGACTGCCAGATTGTTTGGGTAATCACTGTTTACAAAAATTACATAGCTTGTCTTCCTAAATATCAGAAATCACAAGGCTAAATTATAGCTGTGGTTACAATACAGAGTAATTACAACGTGTTATATGAATTTTGTGAATGAGGAGTTGTTTTTTTGTTGTGGGCTTTTTTTCTTGTTGAAGTAAATGACATCCTCACAAGGACATTTTCATCTTGATATTTCTGTTCTGTGTGATGTGTGTATAAATACAGGACTGATATGCTTTAACATTAATCCACGTGACTTTCTTCAGGTTCATAAACCATCTTAAACTCGCTTGGCAGCATACTAAGTGTTCAAAGTGGAAAGATAAGAAAATACCTAATTCTCCTACTTTATTTGTATGAGTTGTGTTAGAAAACAAATACTGTAAGTTGTCTAGTTCATCTGCTTCTGTGCACCTAGGAAGTTTGTGCTCCTGGCTTTTGCTTCTCTCTGTGGCCACAGCAGTTCCACTACCTCTCTTCGTGTCACTCGCACTCAGGCGCACAAAACTCATCACTTCTGCTCTTGGATGTAATTAATCATCCTGCTCATTAATAACATTATTCTTCAGTTGTGAAAGAATAATTGTCCACTTATGAATTTGGTCTTCTTAAAATAACAGCTGAAAAGTAAACTATCATCTCCTTCCCTGTTGAGGTAGGGGACGCAACATCTCCATTAGGTTAGTGTTAGGCGGAGTAGAGCTTTCTTCCTGTACTTGATAGAACTTAGCTGCAAAATTTGGAGAAAAGTTTGAAGTCCTAGGGATTTCTGCAGTTCTCTCACTATGTTTTATGTAAAATATATCCATTAAAAAAAATTAATGACAAAATTAGCTTTAGGGTGAACTTTCTTGGCTGAAAAAATAATTAGCGGTGAACATTTTCTCTGAATTTAAACAGCATAACAAACACTCTTGTTTTGCAAAGCCAGGAGAATAAGCCTTACATTTTGAAATAGCAGGAGGCTGATACCTTCCATTCAGGGATCTGCAATTCAGTGTATTTGGTAGTAGAATTATTGCAGCCATTTTTGTAGAAGGTGGGTCTTTAGAGGGTGTAGTGTTATGAGGCATTTAGAGCACTGAGCAAATACTCTGAGTAGAAGTGTGTTTGGAGGAGATTGCTGGGTGTGTAAGGAGCTGCTTTCAAAGTGTAGCATTCCAGGTGTGCTCAACATTGAGTGGTGGATGGATTGAGTGCAGATGGATTGATGCCGTGCCAAAGACTTAGGAGCACCCTCTCTGTTTTCTCTAATGCCTACATTCGGTGGGAGTTAAGTTGAAACACAAGCATGGCACGTACCTGGAGCATTACTCTTCCTGGTTCAAACGTGGCTCTTACTCTCTGGATATACAAGGTGTCTGCAGAGCTGGAGAGAAGAGGACAGGGCAATCTCAGTGTTGGTCCTCTTGCTACAATAGAGTTGAGTTGGCTGGAAAATGGGAAGCAAAACAAATGCTGTTGAGGGATGGGGCAAAGGTGGTGGGAGAAGCATGGCAAAGCATCCTTGCAGGGGATGTAAGGCCAGAGGAGGAGGTGGGAGTGGGACGCAGCTATTGTTGGGAAATTACATCCTCCAGCCAAGACTAGAAGTTTCTGTCAAGATCTTTTCTGGGTTGCTTCTTAATCAGTTCCTGCAAATCTGACTGTACAGCTGTTTGGTTTTGCCCTTTTACCCCTAAGCTGGAAGTCAGTGGGTAAGGAGAAAGGAAGCCTCTTCCACTTGCTAAGTTTCCCAGTATGTGTAGGAAAGACCCTTCCCTTCCCCAATATGAAGCAGAAAAAAAGGGACTCTGCCAGCTGTGACAGGACTTTTCTCCCCTCACGTGACAGTGCCGAGTTCTTGCTTCAGTTCCTGTTGTGGCCGCTCCTGTTGGCTCCTACCTGATGACTTTTTCTTCATTAAAATGCTTGTTGCCTTTCCACTTCGGGAGGTGGAGGTGGCACACAGGTAGACCTAGTGTGTAATTAAGCACTTCTTAAAAGCACTTAGAGTCTTCTGAGTAAGGAGTGTTCCGATAAGCACAAGAGTGTGGTTTCCCAATCCATTATTTTATGTTTGATTTATTTACCTTTTTTGCTTTTTCATTTCACTTTCTGCAGTTTTCCCATGTGATGACCATGCTGTTATGTGAACAGAGGTCTGGATGTCTGGCAGAGCAGTGAGCACTGTTTCTGACTTTCTTTCAGATGCAAGTATGGACATAATAGCCTATGATGATTACTCCACTCCACCGCTTCAGAGATATTGAAAGGACACCTGAATACCTCCAGCCAGAAAAGTGTGTTCCACCTCCTAGCCGCGCTTCCCTGGGAACAATGTGGTTTATTCGAGATGGCTGTGGTATTGCATGTGCTGTCGTTACCTGGATGCTGGTGTTCTATGCCGACTTTGTAGTCCTTCTTGTCATGCTAGTTCCATCGAGAGATTATGTTTATAGTGTCATCAATGGCACACTGTTCAACACCTTGGCTTTCCTCGCTTTGGCTTCACATTTTCGTGCTATGCTGACAGATCCAGTAAGTATACACCTCTCTCTGTGTGTCTCGGAAAGAAACAGGCGGTGTTTTTCTTGTCTGCTAGATGTTGGGTAAATCAGTTGCTGAGTGAGTGGCAGATTTAAATAACTTTTGTGTGTCAGCCTGCTGAGTGAGGTATGTGGTATGCTAATTTTTCGTCCCACTCAAGTCGGATGCAGAGTCAGGGACCCAGCGTTAGATTCCTGGTGTGTGAGCAGCTCCTCTTTCTCCACTGGGAAGGAGAGTGTTTCTCTCTGATGCTGTTTTCTCCCCAATGGCAGACCTCGTGTTTGTGGCTTGTTGTGTCTTGACAAACAGGAAAGCTGGAAAAGCTGGTTTTGGTTGTCTGCCTTGGCAAGTATTGCTTCAGCAGAACAGAGCAGAATATGTGTTGTTTTGAAAAGCTGTGTTACCATCTCTCATTCTATTGATTTTGTTGAATGTATTGGACAATGCTGAAATAAATACGGTCTGAGCATGCTAAGAGATGGCAGTTCTTAGACAAGTTTGGAAGCATCAGAGTTGTGAGATCCCCTTGTATGTATCCTTAGGACAGTGCCTTGAGAGATCAGATCTGCTACTTTCTCATCTTTCAGTTTGTGATAAGATAAAGTTTAGCACCATGATGCTAATTCTGAATGGCCTGGGATGTTTTATTTTGCTTAATGACCTCTGGACAATAGACTCAGTTCAAAACCCCATCTCCGCTAGTCAGTGGAAGGAAAGACAAGCTTAGACTTCTTCTGTCTCCTTCCTCACAAACGTTCTTGCTACTGTTGGGAGTGATGGTGTGCCTCTGATAACTCTGTCCCTTCCAAATGTTATTTCCCCCTTGAAACCTTGTTAGGTGATGTTGAGACTTCAGTATAATCTTTGTTTCTTAGATTCCAGATCTTCCAGAAGTCCCAGCACTGCAGAAATGGCTTGATTTGGGGTATTCTCAAAATTTGTAGTAGTAAAGATTGTTGAATTGCATGCTGCTGCTGGGCAGAAGTGTAAGCAGTACTTCAGCCTCTGAAATTTCTGATCACTGGACTCGGGAATAGAGGGGTTGCAGCAGTTTGTTAGATAGTTTGTATCCTTAGGGTGGTTGTTAATTATTGTATGTTGTGTGATTTTAATGCTTAGGGACCTTCAGGTGGCTGGAATTATTTTGCAGAGTTAGCAGCAGCTCTTGTGAAACAAAAACTGTATTTTGAAATGGGCTAGTTGGAGCAGTGTTGGAGAAGGAGATAAAATTTCTGTTGAGACTAATTGGGAAAAGATATGTTAATTCCTAGTGTGAGATGGAATTTATCTATGTGGATTGAGAGACAGTGGGATTTTGTTTCATTTTTTTAATGAGGAATTCAGCTAAATAAAATGCAGGAGGGAAGATACAGAGAAAGGATGCACTAACACCTGGCAGACAGTGAGTCTGGGATTAAGGAAGCTTCCAGGACATGGGGAACCAGGGGTATATGTAGGATCAGAATGAAACAAAAAGCACTGCTAAGGCAAACAAACAGAATTCGTATTATAAATAAATTAACAACTCAGTTCTTCACAATTCATAGCGTGTGTCCTGCATTTCAGGAGCTGCTTCCAATGAGTCCTTGCTAAAAGCATTCCTAAAGTTTTGAGCTTTGGTGCATACTGGAGAGAAAGAAGATGAGTTGTAGCGTTTTGTGGAAATTGGTTTTGGTAATTTTTAAATTAGTCAGGCCTATTGGGAGTTTTTGTGGGAAAACCCCCCAAAGACTGCTTTAAAAAGCCTCATACAACTGGTTTAATGTGCAGTTCTCTCACTCGTGTATCATTCCTGTTTACTGCTTTTAGGAGGTTGTATAAATGTTTTGGAAGGAGACTCTTCCATCAGAAATCTGTTGAAATACTGCATCCCTGTTTTTATTTCAATTAAAAAAGCCTTAAATTCACAGAAGTAAATTGTGCCAATGTACCAGCAGTGATTTCATACACCATGTTTCATGGTGCCTTTTTTTTTTTTTTTTTTTTTTTTTTTTTTGGAGCAGAGAGAGTTTCTTTAATTTGTTTGTTGTTTTGGGGTTTTTTGGTGTTTTTTTTTGGAGCAAGTTTTTGTCCCTATAAAGACTGGAAACTCATGAACTTGGGTTCCTGTAGCAGCAATATGTTACCTATTTAAAGATATATTTTAAGGTGGAAATTGCACAGCTAAGAATGTTTTACCTGGTCTTATTCTGGTGTGGCAGTTCTTAGTGTTCACTGTTTGAATGTTAACCCCCAATTTAAATAGCAAATACACAATGGAAGCATAACTATAAATACTTGACTTTTTTACTAGCAACTCTTAGTGTACACAATAATACTTCAGAAGAAATGGCTTCTACTGGCATAAAACATCTGCAGTTTTCAGTATGTTATAGGAAACACTGACATGATACATTTGTTGATGTGAAAAGAGGGATGAGGATTCTTAAATATTTTAAGGTTACTGTAGGACTACAAGAGACTAATTGCTTAAGTAGAGGTTTATTGATGTTTAAAAAAAAAACAACAAAAGCCCCACCAAAATTATGTGTAAATATGTGGTTCCATATTTTAAGACCACATTTAAATTTCTTTTCTGAATCTTCTTGCTCTTCTTGAAACTGTTGATCTTAAGGAAGCTTTTATTTCTTTTTCTTTCTGCCCCTCCCATAGATTTAAGTCATCCTGTTGTTCTTAGCAACCATAATGTGCACAAGTTAATCTCCTGGTTTGTTTTTTTTTCCCTGCAGGGTGCTGTACCCAAAGGTAATGCCACAAAAGAGTTCATTGAGAGTTTACAGCTAAAGCCAGGACAGGTGGTTTACAAGTGCCCAAAGTGTTGTAGCATCAAACCCGACAGAGCACATCACTGCAGGTAAAGTCTGTTCTGTGGAGGGCTGTTTCCTCAAGACCTCAAGAATTATTCACCAGTGTATCTTGTTATTGCAGTCTGAGACTGGAGTGGGTCAGTTGAGGGATTGGCATACAAATTCTGTTGCCAATAGTACCAGACACATTTAAGCTTCTCAGAAGAAATCTCATACCTTTTCTGACAAATTTTCATATATAGGAGGCCGCAGCTACTTGGTGCAAAGTGAGAAACACAATTTTTGAGTGCTGCCTTGGTTCCAGACTTCTAACTGACATTCCATAAATTGTCATGTAAACATGACTTGAAAAGAGACATTCTATACCAAAATGCGTAGAAATCCATAAAATGTCTACCAAAGGGTCAGTGTCTTTTCCATTTTTGTTTTTATTCACAAACCCATTTGTCTAACTGTGTATTCTATTTAGAAGTGATGTTTAAGTTAAAACTGAAGTGCAGGTAACCGTATATATATTTTTAAGAGTTCAGACTTCCACATTTTCATTGAGTACTGTGACTTTGTTTTTGTGCTGTGTGATAGATCAGTATGCCTACTGATCTGTCATGTCCTTTCTTTTTCTGGTAGGATAAACTTCCCGGAAGAGAGTAACTGGTAGTGAGCTTTTTAGTACTAAAGGCAGTGAGCAAAAAAATAACTACTTCCTAAAATTCTCTTCTGCTTTTAAAGCAAGCGAACCTGCTTTCCAGTAAGTAGTTAATAAGTTTGCACTGGTGTCACTTCCTTGCGTACTCAAAAAACAATACATACAGAGAGAGCTCGCACCTGGGCTAGTGCTGATTCATGCAGTGGTCTTGTGGGGAGGGAAATATGTGATAATGAGCTGAGCAAACTTGTCCTGCTGTTTGCTTTTTTCATATTTGTTTTCAGAGCTTCAGTTTGCAGATGTTTTTCTTTTTTTCTTGTTTTCGTTGTTTTTTAAAATTGTAATGAAAATCAGGAGTCGGTTATTCAGCAGGAGCAATGTGGTCATGCCTATCACTTATTAATGCTGCTGTAAAATCCCCTCTGACAGCTTTTCAATTATGAATGAAACTTCACATCTAAAATGCTGTCTTGATGATGACTCACAGTGTAGGTAAATGAAAAGGACTCTGGCTAAACACAAAACCGTATCACCATTGTCCTTTATTCTGTCCTTTAAGATAAGCTTTTAGACATTAAGGTTTGGGAAGGTGATCTACTGACCACTGATAATATTGAGAATCTTCAGTCAGACTTTTTTTTTTTGTGGCCTAGGGGGATTTATTAGACTTTAAGACACCAAGGTTGAGTGTATGCATCAGCAGGAGATACTGCTAGCTGTATGCCAGAGGGACCAGGGTGTTTTTGATGGATGTGCTACTTGGTGAGTCCCCTGTGCCCAGTGAGCTAGTCCTGCCAGCATTTGGAAGCTGCGTGGTTGAACGAGGGAAGTGTCTGAGTATGGGCAGTCCCTGCTCCCTGTAGGGTTTAGTTGTGGTTTGTTTCCTTTTCCACCAGCTAGCTTCCTGTTCTCCCTGTCATCCAGTTGTTTTTGGTATGTGTACATGGAATAAAACTGCCCTCCCAGCCTCCTCTCCTGTCTCTTTCACATCTGTGGCGTGGCTGCTTCAGGTAGTCCCTCTAGGGAAATAGGAGCAGTTGGAGGGTTGCTTGGGTACTCACCTTTCCCAGAGCTCAAGGGAAGTGTGTGCACACTCCTCCTCCTTCATCATCTTCCTCACCTTGCCCCTTCCTTTTTTATTAATCACAATGAGAGATACTTGTCTTTCAAAGTGCATTACCTGGCAGATAAATTGCTTTTGCTGTGCCTGCTGATTTTAGACCCCATGTAGCTCTAAATAATTTTAAGCTGCTTGTTCTGGCAAAATGAGGCTTTTTCTTGTTTCCCACTGCCTGTGGGGCTGACAGGTAGTAGGGCACCCATGTTTGCCTGAGGAGAAGGAGCTCCTGATCTGCCTGCCTGGACTTTCATTTAGGATCAGGCCTATAGCAACTCATTTGTTTTTCAGGCATGGCACATATCCTTGGGGATTATCCCCTCCCACCAATTAAAGTGAGTGAAAGGCTGTTCTGACAGAGATTTTCTATTATTTATTCATACATGCTGATAAGAACATATTTATATTTTTGTTTGAGTTTCCCTGAAGTGTTTGGGTGTTGAAGTTTATTATTTATATTAAGGTCAAGATGATTTTTGTTATAAGAAGAAAAATAAAACTAGCAGAGCACTTAGTCCTTTCTGTTTAATTGCTGCCAGAATTGTTCTGGAATGGCTGTTTCCTTTCTGAGTCTATTGTTTGTTTGCTTTGGGGTTTTGTGTTTTTTTCATATTTGATTTCTGTGCTTGTTTGTTCAATGTGGTATCAGGAGACTGACTGCCTTTCATCTCCTATCATATGAGAAAGCAGCAGAGAAAAAGACTTCCTTTATTATGTGTGTTGAAGCAGTTACTGACTAAGCAAGAGAATGATGTTCAGAGCAATATATAAAGTAATAATGTTTTAATTATTTGACTTCCAGCCACAACTTGCACGCTGGCAAGAATCTGAATTTTGATTTCATTAGTCTGTTTTTGTGAAGTACTTGAACATCTAATTTCACCTTGAATGTCTATTGTGGTACCATCTTCCTGAATGACTGCCACAGCTATTTTCTTCTAGTGTGTGGCTTACCTTGATGTCCAGAATCTTTTCTAATGCCTTATTTGATTGCAAGTTCCTGCTACCAGCAAATGTTGGCAAATAAACCCGAGCTGTTGTTAGCAACTCTTGAGAAGTATCTTTATTCATTACTAACTTTTGTATCTTTTGTATCTTGTGATTTATGTTTAGTTTTAATCTGTAGACATTTTTACAAGCCAAATAGATTAAAACTAAACAAAATCACAGATTTTTTTCCATCTGTCTGAATGTATTGTTCAAACCATATTTTGGAAAGAACCACTGATGTGTGGCATTAATTTTTGCAGTGGTGTTTTTTTTATTTTATGGTTCATTTTGAACAGGCTTAGTCAAGGAAGCAAACCACAAATATAAATGTGGTGGCAAGTAAATTCTCTTATGGTCAGATTTCACCTCTGATTCTTTAGCTGAATTTCTTTGTCCCCCAAACCCCTGTAAAATCTTGTGTTTTGGAATGAAAGTGTCGTTAATGAAGACCTGTGCTCTTTCAGTGTTTGCAAGAGGTGCATTCGGAAAATGGACCACCACTGCCCGTGGGTCAATAACTGTGTAGGAGAGAATAACCAGAAGTACTTTGTACTGTTTACAGTAAGTATTTTGCAAGTATTTTACAGTAAGTATTTTTGAGGTTGTCCAGTGGGAAGTGCTGAAATGTAGTGCATAGTCTGTGAAGCAGCTCCCAGGGCTGGTGTTCTCTTGCTTCATGTTTTGGAAGAACTTTGTGGGGACCTGCTGCAGGTTTCTATTTCACTAATTAAGAAACACCTCCCTTGCTCCCCCTCCGTCCATCCACAGCAATAGGAAAAGGCGTCACAGGAAGCATTTGTAAGGGTTTTTCGAGGTTTGTATTGATGGTTGTTCAGTGCCTATTTTGTAAGGCTAGTAGTTTATTGTGGTGCTGAGCTCTTTGAGGGAGGGCCATCCTTCTACACCAAACACTGGCTGGTAGGATCCCAGGCCATATGTAGGGTTCCTAAACATTACAGTTGTACAAATATCTCTGTGGGATCACATAATAAGAGGTGTTGCTGCATCTCAAACAAGGAGTGGGAAGTCTGCTGCATCCCCTTGGATAAGAATTCTCTACCTTTTAATTGCAAGTGGTTTATTTTTGTACTTGAAAACCAAGGAGGTGCTTGACTTTTTGTACTATAGCTGTAGCATCATGAGTAAGAAAACAGGAGTACAAACTCAAACAGTGGATATTTCTGGAAGGTTTGAAAAGTGTTTCATGAAAGTGAACTGCAAATATCCCGTGGGAGTAGTGTGAACATTACAAGGCTGAGTCTCAGTGATGCTGTGTTTTATTAATAAATCTTCTGAGATATCTGTGGGTTTGAGGAAGTATGTTCTCATATTACCAAGCAGAAAGGAGGAGATTTGCAGTTAAATGACAGGCCTGGTGTTCTATGGTGTGGTTTGCAAGGATGTGGATTACAGAACAAAATGAATCCCATTTCTTTCCTATGAGCAAGCGGGGTTTTTTTTCACCTTGAGCTAGGTGTTCTATTCCTCTCAAAAGAATTTCAGTTTCTATTAGAACTTGATATCCACTTTCTAGCAGACTGTATTTAAGACTTAATCTGGTTGAGAGAAACAAAATAAGGGTTGCTGCTTTTGTTCTTGGATATTCTTTTTGACATGAGGAAGTGAAGGAGCTGCAGCATGCTCAGCTGGCAAGGAAAACCAGAATGCTCCCCTATTGCCTTTTACTGCTTCCAGAGGTGCTTCTTGTTACAAAATCTCTCTCACTTCTGCTATATGCCTATCCTTGTCAGAGTTTGTAGGTTCAGAAGAAGAAGTAAATTTTAATCTACATGTAACATTGCACATAGCTTTTGTTTTAACTTTTTGTTACATACAGTTTTTATTACAAAGCTAAGACCTGGTTTAAGCCAAAAATGATTAAGTACGAAGTATTAAAACCTGAGAGAAACTTTCTATGCCAGTGTCTGCCTCAGAGAAAGTACTTCTTAAAAAATATATATAATTTTTCTGAACCTCATGCTGGAAAACAAAGTGCGTTTTCTGGTTAAAACAAAATTACTGTTGCTTCTCTGGGAAACTGTAGTGCTGTCAAGAGCAAGGATGTAAGCTTTGACCACAGGATACCTTGATCAGTGTTACTGTTCTCTGAAAGTCATGCAGTGCTCAGCTGAGGTAAGGGCAGTAAGCTGTGTGGCCTGGGACACAGGAGGCTGGGTTTTGGATCCAGCTGCTGTTGGATGCAGCATCTGCCTTGTGCTCGCTCAGAGCTGCTCGTAAGGAGAGAACGAGTCTGTGTAGTCGTGGCATTTGCCAGCTTCACGGTGCTTTTTCAGGGATGATGGGAGAGCTTGATGGTTTTTGGAGTTGTTCTGTGGTTTGGTTTTATTTTGAGATCTTAGCACTATGCTTTTAAATAAAGTGTTGGGAAGATTTAGCATTTTCCTCTTTGAAGTCACTTGGTATCTGTATTACATCCTTTATTTTTCAGATGTATATAGCACTGATTTCCCTGCATGCCCTAATCATGGTGGGATTTCACTTCTTGTACTGCTTTGAAGAAGACTGGACAAGTGAGTATAAACAAAATACCTTATTAAAATAACAGATTATCCTTTGAATAAGAACTTAAAATGCAGTTGGCTTGTTTCAGAAGAATGCTATCAAAGTTCTGCATGCTATCACTATTTTTTTTTTTTGTCTTTTTAATTCTCATTTCTGGGATTTCATAATTCTTTTTGAGCTGCTGGAATCTCTGTTCTGAAAAGTCCTCTTTTAACTTACACCTGATAGTGCCTAGGAAAAAGCTGATATGTAAAGGTGCCTAAGGAGTATGTGTGCAATAACATACTGTTGACATGAACACAGCACTAATTTCCTGAATGCCAGCAAAAGATAAGAAGAATGTGTATGCTTTTTTTTAAAGGGTGCTGTGAATCATTCTTGCAGGACTGCCAGGAAAACATGCTGCTCAGATCCAAAAAATCCACCCTTACAAGAACAAACAATTCCTTTCCTCAGAAAAAAAATAAACCCAACAAACCAAAAACAGAGCCCAAGCAGCTCAAAAAAGTGAAACCAAAAACCTCAGCATTCACTCTGAAGTAGTCAGTGAGTACATTTTCACAAAGTCAGTCTGTGTATTTCCTAAAACCACAAATGGATCTAGGAAACCTTCAATGTAATACTGAGTTGAACAGCAAGGAGTCAAAGAACATGTGCACATGTAGGTACTGTTTGTGAGGTTTTTTTGGGAAAGGAGGAGGGTTTTTCCCCTTGGAATTTCAGTAGTGGTATTCAATATACCTTGACTGGTTTTAGATCATAGTACTGCAGAAGATACACATGTGAATTGAATTTGAAAAGGTTGTTTTGCACTTCAAAACTTTGTAAAAAAGCTGCCAGCAGTCACTGAGAACATCTGCATTTGACTGCAGTGGCCAGGGCCATATGTCCTTTCTCTGAGCCTGTTCCTGTGGGGAAGCACTTTCCTACCTGTCCCAGGTTTAGGTGGCAGAACAGAGCTGTTAGGAGAGATGGATATGTTGTTCCAGCTGCCTTGTGTTTGTGCAGATTGTGTTAATTTCTGATTATGGTTTATCTGTTTAAGCCTAAGAGCTCATTAGAAAAATACAGGCTTTTGGTGAGAGTCTTAGATTTTGGAAAAATCTGGAGACATTCTGGCATTTACAGCACTCAACTATGACTTTGGCCCTATAACATTACTTTTTTCTGCTCCTCCTAATTACCTTCTTGGGTTTCTTTTTCAGCTCTTGCTTGATTTTACACTGTTGAGTATGAGGAAAAATAGGAACTGGGTTTAATCTGACCTTCCTTAAATTGCGGCTAAGAACATTTACGAAAGGAAGCACACCCTGGTTTTATGTTGGTGCTCATGTCCTGACTGCCAGCTTGAGATTTTTAATGGACTTATCACTGTGGAAAATCTGTTAAGTCTAAGATTTAAGAGAGAACCCCCAGGTGAAATGGAGGAGAATGGCATTCTAGTTGGTGTGCTGGGGAAACACTGAAGTGGAAAAGAAAGTTGCAATCTTGAAGTGTTGCAGGGTGGGCTCTTTAACTTTTTTGAAATTTGAGGGAGTGATCATTTTATGATTGAATGTCAGAGCTTCCCTGTGTATCTTTCTGGGAATGTTGTTCATATGATTTATTTGTTTGGGTATGGGAAACTTGTGGCTTAGCAGATGTTTTGCAGTAGGTGCATTACTTGGTGCCTACCCTTCCAACTCCATTGTTTTGTCTTCACAGAATGTAGTTCCTTCTCTCCACCAACTACAGTGATTCTACTCATCCTCTTGTGTTTTGAGGCTCTCCTATTTCTCATCTTCACCTCAGTTATGTTTGGGACCCAAGTACACTCCATCTGCACTGATGAAACGGTGGGTGTCTCGCACTCTGTCCTTTACCCTGTCTCTCACCATTTGTAGAAACAGTGACGGGTTACAGGGTTTTGCCTCATGGCACAGGGAGTCCCAAGTAACCTCTGAGGAGAGATCCAGTGTAATAAAGCTGAGCTAGCACAGTGCTGGCTGGTGCTCTCTGAGGGCTCCTGTGGCACACAGGGTACCCTCTGTATCGGCTGGGGTGCCGTGTTGACCGTACCTCCCGTGAGGTAGGCATAGGTATCTGGGGTTACTCTTGTGAGAGTATTTGTCCCTGTGGATTGGAGAGCCTTTGTTCTTTAATGAAGTGCTTTTACATTGGTATTGTGTGAAATTCAGCTGTGTGTCGTGGTTGTCACTGTTCACAGGTTTATGTGCTGGAAAGGCTGGAAAGCCAAGATGAGAAGTTGGGGGAGGAACGCACGCACACACACACACACACACACACACACATACACACACACACACACTTCTTTTAGGCTAGAAGATTTTCCAGCCTTAACTACCTGTTCAACACTTCAAAAACTCCTGCCAGAAGGAAGAAGAAAAGGGAGTGGAGTAGGCTCATGGAAACTGCTAGATACAGTCTGCTGTAAATCCACCAAGCCATCTCCAATTTGAAGATGGCATGGTAGAGAATATATAGTAATATTACAGTCCTGGATCCATGTATTTGCCCACTTCTGCAAAGATGAAGCTGGTGACTCCTGGGGGTGTTTTCACACTTGTGAATACTTGCACTCTTCACCAAGCACGCTCAGGTAATTGAATTGACCAGAGTGGCTAGAGAGAGTGGTAGTCTTAAAAGAGGGACAGCTCTTCTTTCCTCCCCTGCCTCCTTTAGGTTTCTTTCCCCTTGTTTGCCCATGGCCAGTTGAAGCTAGAGTAGATGTTTTTGCCGCTGTCAGAGCTGTGACGGGCATTATATGCTGTACAAGCCCATTGCTCTGAGCCTTTGTTTGCAGTGCTTTCCTTAATGCTTGGCTTCTGCAAGAGGCTGATGTTCCACCTGTCTGTGTTGAGAGGAAGACTGCACTGTGCTTTCTGATGGGGAGAGCCCCAGGAAGAAGTACAGCGTGGTACATATCCTGCTGAGCTTGTGTTCAGCAGTAAGTGTGTCAATTAGCAATGCTGCCTGTGGAATCATCAGTTGAATTTCTCCAATCTTTGGAACCTGTCAGGAATTTTTAGAAGCTGCTTCCTACAGCTGGGCACGCAAATAAGTCCCCAGATTTTCCCTTCCATTGTAGTTCTGGGGACTTGTAGATGTTAAAGGATGAATGCCACGTTCTAAAATAAAGGAATGAAATATGGTCTCCCCGGTTGAGTTGTGGGTTTTTATTTTTGGGTGGTTTTTTAATATGTACCAGTAAGGATTCTGCTCTGTGGAATATCTCATTGTTGGTTTGCTGGCACTGAGCTAGCTGTATGCAAGCAATCTGTTTTGAGCAGAGCAATATTTCCAGGTGAAGTGCTCTTGGTGTGCTCTCTTGCAGTGTTCTAATTTGCATTGTAGAGACAGGGCTGTATCTTGCCCTTTTTTTGCCTTTCTGTTCCAGTCACTGGGAGACTTCATTCCTCATCTTGAGTATGCAGTCGCGCCAGGATGGTTCCTTTCTGCCTGAAGGGACACAGAATCCTGGTATTTTGCTGTTATCTCTGGAGGTGACATTACCAGGGATCAGCACTTCTGCAGCTGGCCCATGTTGTGTTCATCAGAGCTCCCAGTGTCAGTAATTTGAGGCACACCGATGTATTGCAGTGCGTTGCTGTGTAGCGTGGCAGACACATGTAGGTCAGGAGGAACCTTGCCTTGCAAAAGATGCAGAGTCAAGGAACTGGGTGATCTGCCAGCTGCTGCTGCCCTTGGGAGAGTGATGCTCTTCAGTGACTGCTCTTACTCATTGTGCTTCTGTAGCAGCCAGGCATAAATGGCTTTCCTGAAAGACCAAATTCTCTTCCTGGGCTTCAGACACAATATGGGTTTTTATTTTCTTTTTAATGTTTAACTAGTGAATGTTTCAGCTGATTGCTTGATGGCTTATTTTTGTTCTGCCTCTAACCTTTACTAAACAATGCCAGTGATTTCTTCAAATCGGTATCTCAGTATCTTGTTTAACCCTCTCTCCCTGCAGTCATCCCATGCATGTTTTAGCGGTGATTCTAATGACACATGAAGAGGCACCAGGTAGACTCAGCTACACTGAGCCATGGGCACTTCCTCCTGAACTTGCTTGGTGAATCTGAGAGCATTACAGAGATTATCTTTGGGTTTGTGGGTTTTTGGTTCTTTTTTTTTTTTTTTTTTTTTTTTTTGTCTGCAAGCTTGTAATGGTTTCTTCTAAAGCTTTTCCATCTGGTTAGCACATAATGCATTCAGCCATTAAAGCACATACTTTTTGTTTGGTTGTAAGTGGTGGGGTTTTTTTTATTGACCTCAGAGGCAATTGGATGGCAGGTCTTAAAATGGTTCTGAAGTATGTAGGTCTGAAGAAAATGAAAGCAATTTTATTTCCAAGGAACAGCTTCTAGTTTTAGTATTTTTTAATATAAAACAGTGAGAAGAAAAGGAAAGGCAGTACAGATGCACTTGTATTTTCTTACTCTGTCCTTTGGACAAGGGGTAATTGAGAGTAGACTTTTCCCCGAATCCAGAACAACAAAACCTGAGTATTTGACTGAAAATGTGATATTTCTGTTTTCAGGGAATAGAACAGTTGAAAAAGGAAGAGAGAAGATGGGCTAAAAAAACAAAATGGATGAACATGAAAGCAGTATTTGGCCATCCGTTCTCTATAGCATGGCTTAGCCCATTCGCAACACCAGACCAAGGAAAAGCAGACCCGTACCAATACGTGGTCTGAGGAATTCCTGACCAGCATTTCCACTAAAATAGAAACATATTACAGCACTACTGTTACAAATTTTCCATGAATGTTTAAAACAAAAAGCAAAACAAACTTTTTTATGTCTATTAAATGGCTGATAATTGCAGAGGAGAAAAAAGCCCTGTGTTCCACCATTTTAGATAATTCTATATCTCTGGCTGAAACTGCTGCTTTTTTTTTTTTCCTCTTTCTTTTTTTTTTTTTTTTCCCTTTCTTTTTTATCACATTAACTTTACTGGCATTTGTTTCTCTTTGCTTTCTGTATGGCATAACTAATGTGAAGGGAATCCTCTCTTCTCTGTTATGACCCACCTCTTCTGAGTAAATTCTCATGCTGTCTCCTGACTGTGATGAGCTCTGTGGATGACATGTGAGTGCCAACAGCCCTACACAGACACCTTTGGACTTCCTGAAGGAGCACATTGCTCTTTCCTAAGTGAACTTGAACAGGGAAGCAGATACTTCACGTACCAAAAGGTGCAAGACCAGAAGGCAGCACAGCAAGCGAGCCAGTTGACTTGGTGATCACAAGCAGTTAAAGTACTTAAAAGTTGCCAACACCGATTCTCACTCCACCCTCCTTTTTCCTTCCAGCCACAGAACTGATTCCATCTTTCTGGCATTATTTTATCTGGTCCCTCCCTTGTGTGCAGGAAATTGTTGCCCGTTTAGGATAACTGTGGCAGATTTAGAAGACTCTTTGGATTATTACATGCCTTACACTTCCAGGAAAGAAAGCAAGCTAATTTTCAAGTGTTTAGAATAGCAGAATCATGTTTTTTGATGTGTGTTTGTCTTGGTAAATGACTTGTTAGAGCAATGCCTGCTAAACAGTGTTAACGTGAAAAACTGACATGAATGCCCAGATTACTATAAAGACTAATATTGATGGGATGTATAAGTGTTCCAGGGTGATTGATTCTATATTGTTAGCTTTGCCCTGGTTTAGAGCTTTGTAAATCTTTTCTCCTGTTTATGCATACATGTGTATGTGTGTAAGCACACGCACATATATGTGTAAGGGTTTGAAACTGGGAAATATTTATGGTAAGGAGCATGCATGCTGTTATGAACTGTGTGGTGATGAAAAGTGGGAGGGACAGAATGCATTCCAAAACCAGGTAGAGCTAAACCATTCATAATTACAACTGTTAATGTTAATTACAACATCTTGTGTTCAGGCAGGAATTTTGTTATATTTTTGATTCATGTCTCCCATGGGCTCATCAAATGAATTGCAAACAGCGGAAATACACAAATCAGCTGCATCTGTGACTTCCAAGGAATCTTTTCTTTCCTTGGTTTAAAATATTTTTTTGGAAACTGACCTGCTAGACTGCTTCAAAGCCACGGGGGAAGGGAGGGAAATCAGGGAAGGAGAAATTTAATGGATGTCTCATTTTGGAAGTAATGTGAATGCTGCATCTTTTCAATCTGTTAATGCTTCCATATGGAAAACAAATGCAATAAAACTTTTCCAAAAACTTGTTTGCTGTTCTTTCTTTCTTTCTTTGTTCCAAATCTTGGGAAAAAATCTGTAATGGTTTTCTGAACTTTCACTTCTATGTGCAAGCAGGCAGAAGCATATAAAAGTTAATTAACTTGTGTGTTCAACTTCTAAGTTGAAAAGTGAGTTAATTGGTAATATGCTGATCTGTTAATCAGTGGTTTATTTCAGCAGCTGGGAGAGACTGTAACTCTGGTTTGAGTATGTGATGGTGTTTCTCAGAGAACTCTCCCACCTTAATCTTTAAGCTGGATCTTGGGCCATGGTCAGTCCAGCCAGTGAGACATGTGCAGGTGAGAATTTGAACTGGCAGAGAATCTGGCCCTAAAGCTGCCTTGATGCAAAATCAGATATATTGAGGGGAGAGGCTTTAGTCACCTAGGCAATTAACTAATGAATGCATCTCTCTGTAGTTCACTGCTTCAAAAATTGTTTTGATTACAAATTCTGCATTCCAGTTTGGGCTTATTTTAATTACCCTTATTAGCTATGTGTTCTGGAGGAAGATTAATTACATTGTTCTGGCCTTTTGACCATTGTGGAAGAATGTGTAACTACTGAGTTTTTCTTGTTTCAAACCAAATGCAGATTGTTATACAGCACTATATAGTACTGAGATTTTCAGTCAGTGTGGTTTGTCTTTTAAATGATGCTCCATCACAGAAATGCCACCCTTACCTGTCATGTGTGTGGTGATAACCAGGGCCTTCAGATTTTCTTGTGCTGTACAACTTTGATGCAATTTGAATGGTACTAAAAGTAAGTCAGTATTAATATGAGAAAGGCAGACTAACTGGTTTGCTGATGGAAAGTAATTTCTCGGTCAGGACTACCTGATTTCAGGTGCTGGTTCTGTTTTAGTGTGGCCAAGAGAAATTGAAGGACAAACTCAATCAGAGCACTTCTGTTTTTAAAAAAACTAAGTGGTGCTCCATGCAGAAATGTCTGAAGGAACTGCTGTAAGAGAATTTCTGCCTTAATCATGACTCTCCAATGGCAATACTTCCTGTGTCTTCTTAACCATCACTTTGTCTCAATGCTTGTCTTTTTGGTTTGCTCTTTCCTTTCACATCATTAACAAGAAGTTAATGCATTTCTTCTAACATTCAAGAGCTGTCCTGCAGATTGCTTCTGGGTCAGACCATGCAGCCCACCATCCTCCTCTGGCACTGGGCAGGAGCAGATACCAAGGGCAGTAACTGAAGAAATGGGTGTTATTCTACAGCATCACAGTGGTCACAGGTCAACCTTGTCTAACTGCCCCCATGTTTGCAATGTTCTGCCTTTTACTTAAAGGGGAATGTCCAGTACCTTATATTTCTCAGTGTATGTCTTTTCAGTATTGGTTCAAAATTATGTAATTTGGAGTAGGGAAAGATGATGCTTTCTAAGCACTTCTTTAAAATTAAGTGGAATAGCTGCATGATGGGAAAGAGAAAGAGGTGTTGGTTTAATTCAATACAGAATATTCTCACTTTGTAAAATAATGGTGAGAGATTTATGTAAGTATATTTTTTAAAACTTTAATTAAGCAGTAGTGAAATGTCTTCAACAGCTGTGCATTCCTTCCATCTCCCTTAGATTCTTTTTAAGGCATAACCTCATGCCCTACTGACCATGTGGCCAGCAGCCAAAATTAGATCAAGATACAATTATAAAGCTTCTGTTTATTTTGAATACATGCTGTGAAGGGATTAGTGAGGTCAGGTTGGGAGAGACAAAGTACGCCCCTGGCTGTTCTGATGAACTACTCCCTAATTTGCTTTAGCATAACCTCAGCCTGACCTTGCTTGTTGCCTTGGTTAGCAGATGCTGATAGAGCAGGTGAGCAGTGTTTTTGGGGGAAGGGAATGAGGGGTTGCTGCCCAGAAGTGTTCCAAATTTGTATTCCCAGTCTAGATGACAGCAGCAATTGAAACGGATTACACAAATGACTGAGGGCAGGGTTGAAGCTTGTGCTCTCAGGGAAAGGTTTAAATGCCTGATGTCTGTCTCTCCTCCTGCTCTGTGCTACTTGTTTTCCTTCTCTCTAGATGCTCACTCTGTAAGCGCTCCAGCCGTGCTCCAGCCAGTTTGTTACTAACACACGGAAAACCTCAGCAGCTCGCTAAGGAACAGCGCACAACCAAAGGTGGTGTCCTGCTGTAATCTGCCGGAGCTTCTGCCCCCTGCTTGCACAGCCACTGGGTGCTGGAAATGCAGTATGCTGGAGGAAAAGCTCGTGGTAGTGCTAGAACACTGCCAAGGGTCTACTGTGCACAAACTCTGCTCCTCTCCAGCTTGCCCAGCAGGGAGGTAAGGTCAGGCCCTGGCTGTGGCACACAAAGTGTGGCATCCCAAGGGACCAGAGGCTGCAGGAGATTCTCCCTGGAGCGCTTGAAATGGGACATTTGCAAGCTTGGGAGCAGGCTGAGATGTCACAGGCCTGTGCTTAGCATTCAAAGTCCTTCAGGGCCTGAATTTTTCCCAAATTAGAGCCCTGAGGAATTCCAATTTGGTATTGCATCATTCCTTTCTGCACGTTTACTGCTGGGTTTCTCTTAAGTCAGCATGAGAAACAGGGCATGAATGAAGGATTGAAGTTCATAAGAGCTTTGCATGCAGCGCTTTGGTTTATGGTGTGCTTTCTCCTGGGTCTGCTCGTGCTGACTCAGTGTTGCTGCACACTGAGCTGCTGCTGTTGTTTTATTTGTGAGGCTGACAGCTGGTGCAGCTGTGGTGCTGCTGAGCTGCTGCGTGCATTCCTTTCCCCTCTCTGCAAAGCTTTGAATGTTTTGTGTGTTGTCAAGAAAAATCTGTAGAACTAGAAAGTGAGAAGTGTACTGTTCTTCTAAAGCTGTTCCTTCTTACAGTTTTAACCCAATTTGCACATTTTTTTCTTTTCCTTGAGTTTGGATCCCAGTATTCTTGCTTCTCTAAGAACAGACTTTCTGTGTGGTCACTTGTGTATCATCACAGGTGGATCATACACAGCTCCAGATCTGACTCCTCTCTTACATGATACAGAAGATGGGCATAAAAAATTGTACCCTATTTCACACAGTGGTAGCCTTAGAAAAATCATTAAGAAAATAAATTTTAGTTCCCTATTTCTACATGGAGAAGACTACCAGGAAAAAAATGCCGCTGCCCAAAATTTGATGGATCTGTTCTTTAAGTACAATCAAAATGTTTGCTTTACTAAAAGTGACATTCTTGGAGGGAGAATGAATCAGAATATTGACTGGCCAAGGCTCGTCACATTTTGAAGCCTGCACATTAACCTGTACAGATTCTCTCACCTCCCAGCAGGTTATCTGGCTTGCATTGTGATTTGTCTTTGACAATTTGGTAAATGGAAGTTGTGTTCTTAAATATTTGCTCTTAACTTGCACAGAGTGAACTTCTAGTGACTAGCCTAGGTGTGGCAGTTGTAAATTCCTGATTGCTGGGAAAAGGTGCAGTTTTTTGGCTGTGTCTGAACTATTGCAAGAAATGCCCAAACAAGGTGAAACTCTTAAGTTGTAACTGTAGTTTGTCACTCCTTGGAAGGGTTTGAAAAGCTATGTCAGAAGAGGTCCATGTTTCCCAAAAGGCTGGCTTTTCAGAAGCCATCCCTGTACCCTGAAAATCAACCCATGCCAAAATACATCCGCAAGATTCAGACTGTCCATGAATTTGATCTTGTGTGAGGGTTTTGCTGTTAAATTTGGAAATGAAACTCTCAGTAATGCAGAGTGTCTGTCCTCATTGTAAACTCAAACTGGAATAGCACCAGCCTGGCTATAGGTAGGCAGTTCTGCATGTGCTACAGTCCTTGATGCTCAAACACCTGCTGTAAGCGTGAGATGACCATAAACTCTTCTCTTCTTGCAGGGTATTGAGCGACTTAAAAACCAAAAGCCAACCTGGGAGAAGATCAGCGGCTGGGAAGGAATGAAGCTGGCGTTTGGAGGTGCCTTCTCCCTGGGTTGGTTCAACCCTTTCTCAAACCTGAACTGCGAGAGCCCAGTGCCGGCTGAAGCGGCGGCAGCAGCTCCTGCATCTGAAATAATGACCCAAGAAGAAATCGAGCAGTTTCTGGCTCGAGATGTTGCCATCCAAATGTTGCGTGAATAAGCAAAACGTCCTTCTCCTCCAGGAGAAGCTTTGAGGTGTTGTTTTTTTTTTTAATAATTACTTGTGCTGGAGATTTAAGGGTTGTTTTTTAACATACTTTCTGGTGCATTAAAAAATTCAGGAGTATTGGTCTGGAACAGATGCTACAGCACTAGCAGAAGCAATGCAAATCTCCAGAGAGAGCCTCATAAGTGATGGGGTTCATAAGCTCATTTTCAGACCCGTGTCAGCTGCTTTATCGGTCTTTTCTTACATGGCATTTAAGGACAGTTTATAATTGTCAGATAGATTGGCTCCAGTTCTCAGAAATGTGCCATCCTAAGGAGTCTGACTAATCTTTTTTTTTTCTTACAGCCCTATGGAAGACTAAATGTGTGATGGCAAGATTAGCCAGCTCTGAAAGTTTTCTGGAAAAATGCATCCTCTTTAGCCCATCCCATCCCATTCCATCCCATCCCATCCCATCCCATCCCATCCCATCCCATCGGTGCTGCTTGTGGGTTATGAATGGAATGTTGCTAGTACACTGGTCTTAGCAGAGGTGGGATGCAGGGCCATGGATGCAGCAGATGGATGAGCTCATCCTGGGTGTGATTCCTTTGGGCTCTGAAATATCTCCAGGGGTTAATTTTTACCCTCTGTGCTTGTGAGACTGCCCAGGACTGGTGGTGCTTGTTGGAGGTGGCGGTGGGCTTGTGATGGTGCTGGCAGGAGCGTTGACCCATGCCAGTGCAGCCGAGAAGGAACAAGTGTTGGCTGGGATGCCGAGCTGCTGGTGCTGGTGGGGGGAAGCTTTTCCCTGGGGCTGTGGTTCGTTGGCATGTAAGATGTGTGGAGTGGGAGCTGCCTGGCTGAGCCCTGCAGCCCAGGGAGCAGGGAAGCAGTCTAGGCCAGGTACCAGGGCTATTTTTGCAGTGAAAGAGAGGGCGATGTGAACACCCTGTGGTGGAGGTACTACCTCTCTCTGTTTGACTTGTCTAATTTAGATGTTTCTGTTTTCTTGGTAGCTAGAGTTGGTAGAGAATGAATAGTGCCTCCTAATCTAATCTAACTGGGTTTAACATTGTCCTACTAGTATGTGAAATTACTCCAGGTTTCCTTTCACTAATTTTGCAGCCAATCCCTGGGGAATGCTGGTGAGCCTTTAGAAGGAGCTCATATAGAGGGCATCACTTCAGGAGGCAGTAGTTGCAGCAAAGTCCTACAGAGGTGTTGCCAGCTGCTGCATTCAGATGCACTGCAAACACTTGGCATCCTCCAGATATCAGGCTACTTTTAATTTAGACTGTTTTTCATCTGTGTTTTTGTTCCTCTTCTGTCATATCCCTTAGATTAATTGTCATTAAATTTGCAGGAGACTAGAAATATGCTACTGGTTTCCCCCTACAGAACATGCTTGCTTTTATCTCCCCCTCCCCTCTAACCTGGACCAAAGACAACTGCTTCCTCTCAAAAGGAAGAGAAAGGAGTTCTTGGGATGAAAGCATGGTATTGTGAAAGACATATATGAAGTTTTTATTATTTATAGGAGCAATATGAAATGGAATTTGTGCAAGATTTTTTTAATGTTTGTTTTAACCCCTTGGAAAGCATCTTTGTGTACATTGATTGTGTGACATTCAGGGCTAGTGTGGAGGGATGAGATTCTCTCCTGGACTTGTCCTCTGCCACAGCAATCCTTTTTTCTGGCAAAGGTAGTGGGAACAAATAGAGTGCCTTGGCTGTTAAGAGTACAGCTTCACCAAAATCCAGGAAGTATTTCTGAATAGTTGTCCCATTCCTTGTTCCCTCTGGATGTCTCTTTGTCAGTGAAAAGTAGATCTAGAGAACATCATTAGGAATTGTGTATTTGTAACCTTTGGGATAAAGGGAAACACCCCCCATTTGAGGGGAAATTCCCATCCCATCCATTTAGATATCCTCTCATTTAGATATCCTCATTTAGTCATGAGGTCTTGAATGTCTTTCTGCTGTGCAGCAGGGTGTTGAGGGAAGAAGCTCCTCCTTCTGCACTAGCCTATGTTCATCCCTGTCAGCATCCCCCAGGAAAGGGATGTCAGGGACATACACGGGTCTGTAAGGGATTTCCTTAGGGAGGAATGGGCATGTTGAAAGAGGAGGAGTGCCCTTTTTAGCTATGTTTTCTAATTTTACCCTGCTGCTCCACCTCTGCATCCAGTTAACACCCCTGCCTCTGGTGCTGTGTCTGCAGTGGGAATGGTGCTACAGGGAGGAACTAGTCCATGGCTGAAAATCACTTTGAGGCAGGCATATAGGGATGTCAGCTTGGGAGAGACCCCCATGTGCTGCGTTCCAGGGATGCTTCTCAGGACAGGGACCCTACTCTGGGACATGGCTTTGGGTAGGCATGGATGGAGGCAGCCAAATTTCTCCTCCACTCTCAAACCTGGTTGACTTCATCATGAGAACAGTTGTAATTTGTTCTGTTTCCCACCTCTCCTGTTGTTCCTCAGGTGCTGGCATTTCTGGGTTTGTTTTTTTAATAGAGGAAGCAGAAAAGTAGTGTGAAGAGGAGGGTAAGAGCCAGAGCAGTCATCTCCTCTCCTCCAGTTACAGTCTGAATGAGACAGGGACGTGTCCCTGGGCCATGCTCTCAAGGACAGCCAGCTCCAGCTGTGGTGCCCCCAAGACATGGCAGGGTGACTTCCTATGCCCAGCAAATCAGTTCGGGTGTTTCTTGGCTGTCAGTCTCCCTTGGCCTCTCCCAAAGTCCCAGTACCCCTTGGTGTATCTCCTTTCTGTCTCAATGTAGTATGACAACTGTCAGAAATCACAAGTCTTCACAAAGTGGAAAAATCTGTTTTATCCACAGCTTCTGTATAAACTTCCTTCTTTAAGGATTGACTGGTAGCTTGAGACCAAACATGATTTACATGGAATTGAAACTAAGCTCAGTGTTTACCTTCCTTTCCCTCTACACACTTCTTGCCCTTTGTTAGAGCATGCCCTCATGTTCAGACCATGCTGCTATGGTCCTGGCTGGCTCGCCAGGTCCCAGGAAAGACATTCTGGAGAGCCTGCTTGTAGTGCCCTAAATTTATGGGGCTAGGGAGGATGCTCCCCCTGCACTGCTCAGTGGGACATTGTCTGCTGAAGATCCCTGCTGTGATGTGAGGTTAATATGTGATGGACAGAGTCGTGGCATTTGTGGAAAGTGTTCTCGTACTTCTCACCTGGTGTCTTCTACAGCAGGTTTTCTATGCAAATAGGGAATTTACATCTCGTGAAGAAATACATTTTTTGCTGTTTGTAAGTCCTTTTGTGCCTTTGGTCGCTGCTGCACTACTTCATCTGCCAAGCACCACCTGCTCCTCCCTACTCTGCGGACGTGATGCACATGGACCCTGCACCCACTCTGCCTGTGGAGAGGAGCTCCCACTCCCTGCTGTGCCACCACAGGAGGTGGCCTTTGGGGACCCTGTGCTGCTGTGGGCAGAGGGCCAGCAGGGGTCAGGGCAGCCTTGACCCTCTTCTGTGGCCTGGCAGCCACTTGCGTGCTCGTCTGGGAGTTCCCCAAATCTTTGAAACACAGAAGAGTGGTTAAAACCTTTTTGCCGTTTTATGTCCTTTTCTTCCCTTTTTATGGGCTGGCACATAACCAGACGTAGTCACCATTTATTTTTTCTGCTCCACTGCCTTAATGCTTGAGCATTTGCCTTTTAAATAAACAGATAAATTACTCCCTATACTACTGTGTGACCTGATTTCCTCTTTACTTGTGGAAATGCTGGGCTGGCCATGCTGTGGGACGGGGAAATCCCTTGCTAAAGGTGGGCTCAGGAGCTGCTGGGGTGTGCAGTGCAGTGGTGGGCTCCAGCTGTGCACAGCTGTTGTCTTCTCCAGTGTGACTATGGCTGGAAGAGCTCCTGGTGTACACTGCCATCGAGGTTCTTCCTGTAGTCCATCAGTGTTCTGGGTGGAAGGGGAAGAATAGAGGTTGTACATTTCTAGGGAAGCACTAGTAATGAATGCTGCTGGAGATGGCAGCATCTCTTCCAAAAATGCCTGAAAACCTTCAAAAGAAGTGGGATAGGAAGATGTATGAAAAATAGTGTTTGGGGAGACTGTGCTGGGTTTGCTTTTTCTGAGCTCTAAAGAGAAGGAAAGGCACGTGCTGGTACATTCCCCAGATGGTGAACTGGGAGGAAGAGGAAATTGCCCAGGAGGGATTTGCTTGAAATGTTCCTTGAGCTGCACCGCAGCCCTTGGTGCAGTGAGATCCCTGTGTGTCCTTCCGTGTGGGACCACAGCAGTGCTGCCCCTCCCAGGCTCACACCCATCTCTGGCTGAAACTGGGACCAACACGAGCTCCAATCCCTGGTCTGAGGCAGGAACATTCCCCTTGTGGGTCCAGAGCCATCCCAATGTGACAATATCATCAAACCAAATCACACAGTCCATTTTGACAATCTTTATTGAATCACAATTAACTGCAGTCAATGCAACTGTGCCCTTAAGGCAGTTTAATTCCCTTAGCTTTATGGCATTTTTGCTCTTTAGAAGTACTGTGCAGCAATCAAGAAGGCAAGAAGTGCCCGGTGATGCGATACATGTAGCAAGGCCAGCATTTGCACACTGATAAGGCACCGATCCTACTCGGTGATGAAGACGCCCTTCTCTGTAGAGATCCCTTTGATCTGGTTTGAGATCAGCTTGGCTACGATTTTCTTATCTCCTAGTCTTGTCGGAGTGCATACTATTTCAGACTTGATGATCCTGCCAGGCATTATATCCCTGAGGACAAAGGAAAAACCAAAATAATCCCAGCATGAATTGGGGTTATTTGCCACTTTTGGATAATTTCTATTAAAGGAATAGTGACTGCGTGTGTTCAGGGTGGGTGTTCCCCTTCCCCCATGACCAATTTGCAGCAAATGGGGCCTGGCATGGTGGTACTGCCTGGTGGTCCCAGTGATCCTGGGGACCTTCCCCAGAGTTCCCTGTACTGCTGAAACACTACATTCAGCTCTGAATGAAGCAGCTGTGCTCACACTTGTTGGGCAGCACAGCAGGAGCGTGGGGGGAGTCCCTGTCATGCCTGTCTGCCCTGAGCCTGTCAGATGCTGTGTGGGTCTTTCTGGCCAAATGTGGTGCCGTTTCAAGCACAGCTGGCAAAGGTCCCTCTTACTGCAAATCCCATAGCTGCTTCTTCAAGGACATTTAAAAAAAAAAAAAAAAACAAACCAGAGCAGAGTCCTGCCATGGTAATTTCATTGGCTCATCTCCTTACCCCAGCTCAAATGTTGTCATCTTAAATATGCCCAAGCCCTCCACCAGCAGCTTGCAGTTTTCCAGGGCCACATTCAGCTTGTTCTTGAAGATGAATGCACAGTTGAAGTCATTGTACAGTCTGGCTGTTTCTGGCATCTGGCAGAGGAGGAAAGAGAGAAATAAACCCAAAGACTGGGGATTAGAGGGGTAATAAAGATGCCAGAGCTGCTGCAGGTTTGCTCACCACCAGCATGGTAGGGGACAGCCCCTTCATATACTTTCCACCCACCCAAAGTACTGTGTTTTCCCAGATGGTTTCTCAACACATTTTTCCTTCAGGAGGAAGAGCTGTGGGCTTGGAGATGGGCCCTGTATAAACTGCCCTCTCCCATCCCCTTCCCTTCAGCAGCCCCTGCCTTCCCCTTTTAGATGGGGCAGCAATAAAACTTTAATTTCATGGCTGCTTTCGACCTTCAAAGGAATGTTGAATAGCCAAATAAGAGGCCAAGAACTGAGCATCCTAGGAGGCAGCTGTTTGGGAGATCCCCCTGGGAATTCTAGCACCACCGTGGTGCTGCAGTGAGCAGAGCTTTAACCATTGTCCTCCCGGAGCCCAGCTGGCAGCTGCCTCACCTGGACAGTGATGGGGGGATACTCGAATCTCATTGAGGTCTCCTTGGTGAGTTTGTCATTTGTTTCCTTGACCTCAGCAATGGCCGTGACAAGGATGAGCACTTCATCTTCCACGGTGGATAGTGTCTTCATGTATGCATCAGGTGCTATTTTCATGGGGATCTGCATCTCTGCAGGAAAGAAAACACAGCTTGATGTTTCATCACATGCCCAGGAATTGGGTGGCAAAGTCGGGTCTGGTGGCTGGAGTCCCAGGGTGGAGTCCCAGGTGCTGAGACCATCCTGCTTTCCCTTCAGGCCTAATCCCTGGCTGAGTGGGTGGTACCTGGCACATGCAGCCCTTGGGAAGGCTGGCTGAGTCCCACCATCACCCTGCTCAGACAAGCACTGGCTTAGACTCACATCCAGCACCTCAGCAGCCCTCCTCCCTGGCTGCCCCAGCACTCAGGAGGAGGCAGAGGAGCAGGTGGTGGGGTACATCTAAGTCTGCACCCCCCAGGGTTTCTCTGCCTGCTATAAAATTGCAGGCTTTCCTTTCACTACAGATTTTATCTTTGATTGCCTGGACCACCTTCCAGTGGCTCAGAAAAGCCACAAAGTCAGCAGTGCTGGTGCTTGAGCATTGCTTTAGCTGCAAAGCTTCCTGGCTTCTGGGAATAAAACAAAAAATGCTTATCCTTTTCTCTAAGTGTATATATGTATGTATATATGTATGCATGTACATATGGGTACTTTGTGTCCTGTCCTGCTGCATTGCATTTTGACAGCAACAGTATATGAGTGAAAACATTCAGTGCTCATCACCAGCAAAGTTGGTTTTCTTTGGGTTTTTTTTTTGTGGGGTTTTTTTTGGTTTTTTTTTTTGTGAGTGATTCATGCTAGGAATCAACAAAGGTTGTTAATTATTTATTACATGTTAATCTCTTGTTTAGCAAATTTCAGTTACATTGCTTGGGATCAAAAATACAACCCAGGTTACTCAAAGATGTGCAGAGCACAGCAACAAACA